CAGTTTACCTATGTTAAGAAAGTTTCTTTCAACTTGAGCTTTCGTTTCCTGTAAAATGAAGGAGTGATAACAAGTAATAACACACTTGTATCTCTTTAGCTTTATGTATAAATGTTTTTTCAAAATCTTACAACCTGTATAAAGATCTCTTAACAATGGTATGGCTATCCAAGTGTTTAGTACTGCTTCTAATTTGTATTTAAAGATAGCAACAAGGGATCACCCTGGCTGAAGCTTGATTTAAAAAAATGTCAACAAGGGTGAGGCCATGTGATGTCAAATGCTTCTGAAATGAAGTATTGATACACTTTGAGCTTTGCTCACTGTTGCTTGGACAGAGAGAACTGGAGAGTGGAGAGAGAGAGAGTGAGAGACAGAGAAGGGAAATGAATATGTGCTTTGTGAAGAAAGCAGCTTTTGAAAATAGCTCAGTAGTCCTAAGCAGGCCGAGTTCCATTTCCTGGTGCCTCTGGCCAACATGGGAAAGTGCATTCTTCCACCCAAGCATTCTTGGAATAAAACGTCCCAAGAGAGTTAGCTTCCTGCTTCATCCTGTATAGTACCTGTTTTCCCTACTAATCTCTACCTCGCAAGGACTATTGCGAGGCCCAGCTAATAAAAAATGGTCATAAAGCACTTGGCAAAACCACAACAACTATAAAAAAGAATCAATGTAAATGTGGCAAGGCTTGTTTTTCTGGTACGGACGTGAAGTCTTTGTGCATGAAATTATATAGTGACTCAAATGCTAAGACATTTTTTTGTTGTTTTTTCGCTTTCCCATACTGGGAGTAGTTTTGTCAAGTGGTTTGCTGGTGTGAATGGTTTTGAACTCAGTAGTAGGCCCCTTTGATTAAAAACCTTCCTTCTAATTCTAATATTAGACCTCTCATCATGAGGTCATGTATACATTACTTAAGAATTTGTACCTACTTATTTAAAGAGGAAGTATAACGTGTTTGTGTTAAAAGTCATTGAGGTAAATAAATAGGTGGTGTAGTAATCAAAGGCTTTATTTACCTCATTGCAGAATAGAAATTAGCAGCACCTATTTGGTAGTTTTCTTGAGTAACCAGTGACAACGCTGCAGCACGATTACTACGAAGAGGGCAGGCACTGATCATGTTATCTGCTCCTGATCCAGAACTTCATCCAAGAGGGAAGTGAAGGGAAGACCCCGGAAGCAGCTAGATAGCAGGCAGAACAATAATCCTCACGAGTGCAGGAATCTCATGCAGTCATATGCAGACTACCCATCTAAATCATGGGTCCAAAGCCTCCTTTCCATTCCAGCCAAGCCCAGCTATTTTGATTGGCAGTCTCAAGAAGACAGGAAGAGACTCCTGGGATTGCACACAGTGAATGAAGAAAGGCAGGTTTGAGACTGAATCCTCTTTAAAAGGGAAGTAAATAAATTCCCACCAAACTAAGAAGACCTCAATGGGTATCATGGTGCTGACATTCTGCTCTTCCTTCCTTCCCAGAGAATATTACAAGCAGAAGTTATCTTATCAGATTTTTCCCTGGTTCTTGGGTCTGTGATATCAGAAACCACAGCAGAGATAAGAAGAGGTCTACACTTTTTTTTTTTTT